AAAGCAAAAATTTCAAAAACCACGAAGAAAGCACTGTTACTCACCCGATCGTCAACAAACTTCTGGCAAGCTGATTTATTTCCGGTGTTTGAAAGGTCATCTGTCACGTGGGCGAAACTGCGCATGCGTGTTGGTCGCTGTTTTTTAATGCGCATTGAAATTGTAAACGGTATGAAATATTACATTTTTCACGCGATGTACACACCCCTTTTAATGACGGCAAGACTCATCTAATTACTTTGATCTGGTTTTATCATGTTTTATCTGAATGCTTATTGGTAAGACAAAGGTTTGAAGAGGATTTTAACGCATTATAACACCAAAAGTAAACTTTCTCGAGCGCCTTTTTAATCCTCTTAACTAAGTGGTTCATCCTTTCTTAGTACATCCATGGTAAAATATACTGAGAATATGACTTCTTAAAACCAGCAAACGTATCGTGATTACGCACTTGCTGGGGAGAGAGTTCCATTCTCTGACAACTGAAGTAGTGAGAGAGAACTTGTGGCCAGATGGGACCCTAAAGTCACCCGTACACTTGAAACTGTGTCATATGGGTGCACTTCTCTAAGATACTCAGGTGCCAAATTATGGGACACTCTTCACATTAAACCATCATATTAAAATGGATTCGTTGTTTAATACTCATCCATCGTAAGTTAGACAACATATGCTCAATATGGGTCCGACTCACCGTCCGAGGACCAGCCTTCAAAATAATTCGCATTGCGCGATTTTGTAGTCTCTGTAATCTGAAGATGTTCTTACCAGAAGATACAGACCACACGGTTGAACAGTAATCCATATATGGTAATATTAAGGATCAGTGCGCACATATTACAGATTGAGGCAGGAAGATACATCAACCAAACAGTAGAAGGGAGAAAATGCCACTACTGTCAGGAAAAACAAATAGAAGATGAAAGCCATTTTCTATTTAAATGTTCTCCCTATGCTGAATTAAGAAACAAGTTCCTCCATACCACAAAGGTCATTACAAAAATTGACAAATCTGATATTAAAACACTGTGACATTCCATAAACAAAAGATAAACAATCACTAATTCATTTGGCAAAATATATCTTTGACTGCTTCAATTTAAGAAATGACACCCATTAACTATGTCCGGCGTTGTCGTTGTTGTCGTCGTCGTTAATAATTGTTATTGTGTGCATGATAACTGCATGATACTTTACTAATTCTATTCCAAACTCCATCAAACTCGGCCACCTTATTCATCAGTATAAAACCTTCCCTGAGTCTGAACAACAGATGTCTTGTATTAAAATATCATGCACAAATTGAGAAAATCTGATAAAATATTTTTAATTTTTCTACTTGACTCATCACTTGTGATACATGTGATCAAAGGTCACTGATCTCAGTGGAAATATGCATTGTTGTATGTGTTAAATGAAGCAAATCATTTATCTTGTAACAATATCCTTGATAATGTATCCCCCAAATCCCATGGGAATACTATACTGGGTTTCAAAACCAACTCATGGAGAGATTTTTTGCACAGTCTGATACACATTTGCAAACCTACCAATAAAATTTTTACAGCAGACAAGATGTCAGAAAATCCTATGAACTGGGTGCCAAACTTTGATCAAGATCTGAAGCTAATAGAAAATGTGTTTAGTTCAAAGTTATCAAATCAAAAACAATACATAAAAAGCAAAACGTTGCATCCACATTTTGAAAAGAAAATTGTACTAAAATTTATGTATTCTGTATTTGGCAAACAGTTCATTCGACAAATGAAAACGCATAAGAATATGTTTCAGCTATTAGAACAGAATGATAGAGTTTTTATAATACTAGTTTAAAAACGCACTTCAAAAACAAAGATTGCAGTGTTTGAAGATGTAGATTCTCAGGAGGCAACAGTACTGTTGACTTCTCCCTTCACTGAACACCAACTAACTATTTAAGTTGATTTGCATACAAAGCAGAGCGTGCAACATGATAACTATTCATAGAGGGTGATTTCTTCAATAAAGGTATTATTATTATTATTATTATTATTAGAGAATAAAAAAATGATTTACATGTTTGGAAAGGGATGAATGCAGAGCAGCGTTTTAAAATGTACAGACCTCTATTTATTTTTTTAATTTTACTGTTAAAGTGCTCATCAAAGTTGAGGTGGGTATCTATAGAAACACCAAGATATTTTAAGGCCCCAACTTGCTGATCAAGCGACGAGTTAGTTAGTATCAGAGGTCGTTGTCTGGATTCTCGTCGTTTGCCTTGTTTGTGTCGTTTGCCTTGCTCATCGTGCTGCTACTGGTCGGGTGTAAGGAGCAGCACGATGAGCGTTGACTTTTCTTGCTGGAGGACGACCTTTTCGTTTAGGAGCCATGATGGACGTGGACGATCAATAGTAAACAATGGCGTTGATTACAACTTTCGATCTTGAACCAAACTCACAACCAGGAACTCTTGTGAATCTGCCCGACGTATCACCAGGAAACAATGCAAGGAAGTAAATTGACAACACGATTGATGTTGAGGTCACCTACTATAGTTCGGAAACAAAGACGAAATAATAGCGAAAATACATAATAGCAAAAGTGACGGCATGCATGAGTGACCAGGAACAAAAACTGAATAAATGGAAAGTTCACAGGACAATGTATAACAAGTGACGCGCTATGTGTGTACACAAAAACTTGGCCCTGATTGACTAAAAGGGAAATGTCAAAAACAAATACACAACAAGAAAATAAAGTATAGCAGGCCCCTTAATTACTGGATAAAAACACGTGTATTTACAAACTAGTACCTGTGTAACCACAAGTACACAATAAGTTTAGCAACTGTAATTTTGACTCTCTTGGGCAAGACACTAAAAGAGTTTATCCTGTATAGTTTTGACCAAATTGCTGACAGTGACACTTTACAAATGTTAATTACTTTTTTAATTCTATAGATCGTGAATTTTTCGATCTGATTGGTAGAAACGCCTATCATGTCAGCATGGTAATTGTGGGGAGTGGGTCTGTAACAATGTTCACAGACTGTTTTTTCTCCCTGATTGCGTATTAGTGCCTTTACATTTGGATGAGGGGTGATTTTGCATTCAGTCCGCTATCACGAACACACATGAGCTCCAGGTTGTCAAACGTCAGCAGTAACTTTATATAAATTTACTCACATCTCTCTAAGTATCAACCAACTAATTGACTCTAGTACTCAGTAAATGTTTTCCTATAGACACACACAACTAACTTTCAAAACTAGAATAATGGTATTGTTTGTTATTTTTTCCAATTATCTTCAATATCTGGTCTCTGTACAAAATGTCTGTCGCCCTTTAGATTCAGATTTCGACCCCTATAAGCTCTATAGGTTATTACGAGGATACAGTACAGCGGAAGTATCGACTGACGCGCAGCGCAGTGCATACTTTGCGGTATCCTCGTAATAACCTTATTATTACACATCTTTTCCCCATAGGATAGATCATGGAAATGCCGAAATGCAAAAAGTTTAACACAGAATTAGCGAATTCCTCTGTGTGGGGTCTGATACGAAACCCTTGGGGCCGCCATGTTTGTTTTTATTATTAGAGGACGCTTACGCGCGTAGTCGTTCCGTATTTGGAACTCACATTTCCTAATATGGTAGAATGAAAATACCCAGTGCAATATTACGACACGCTGTAACTTATGACGTTACGATGACTGATGTATAATAATGAATATTAATAATACACTTGCAAAGATACGTTCATCAAATGTCATCATCATAGTGTACTGATGTAACTTCTGATCTAACATAGTCGGAAAGCTATGTATGCCCCAATGCTCGGTCTGTGACATCAGATTTTAAGTTGCGCACCATTGAGATCCCCGGCGCTGACATTGTTACACTGTATCAACGCAAATCTCAACGCAACTTCAGCATTTGAATGAACTGTTAATGTTGCGTTCAATCAAAGATCCTAGCAAATGCAATCACAAAAACAATTGGTAATACAAATTATAATTGTAACAGCAGAATACGCACTAGTAATAAAGTGAAGTGACTTCTGAAGACTGTATGCGTTTTGCGAACTTCGTATACAGGGCCCCAGTTTAGACTACCTGTCCTACCATGGCAATAGCCGAAAACGCGTGTTTTTTTTTGAGTGCAGCGGATTGCCAACCAGCCTACCGGCTTATATTATTGTCTGTTTCATGTATTCACACCATATTACTACTTCGTTCTATAACCACGAGACGGGATTCTATCTTTTTTCATGTTTCGTATACATCAGTCATCTGTCTGTGTGTTAGATAGTCATCGTTATTTCTTGCTTGGTCCCAATAACCCTCACAAGTTGGAATATCTGCATTATTTAGCTTTAATTAGTTAATCGTGGTCAATTTCAATTCTCTGGCCAGTGTATTCAAATGAATGCAGTGACCTCTCGATAACTACCTTACCATTATTTAACTTATTAGTAACACTAATCGAATTTGTTCCCAGTTGAGTTAATATAGTGTTGAGTAGACACCGGGAGAAATGAGATTGTTACTATTATATTAAGCATAGCACTTTGTACTTGATCACATAAAAATTGCTGTTTTACAAATTGTGCTGTTTTAAACAATGTCGGTGCAAATTTGTAATTATGTGAACGTATCACAATTGGCTTAAAATAGTATTAGCAAACCAGTAGTAAATTGGTGCATAAATATGCAAATGATGTACATACAATCAAATCTTAGATTTACTCTTGTATTTTACAGACAACAGACAACTACAATGGCGGGAATAAGTGATACAGATCTTCTACGTAATGGTGAAAATAAAGTGCCACTGAAGTGTTCACTCTGCAAACATGTGTATGACGTCACCAACAGAACACCAAAGTATCTTCCCTGTCTTCATACATTCTGCGTACTTTGTCTAGCTGGTCATGTTGGTAAAATATTCCAATGTCCCGGATGTAAACAGAAGAATAACATTCCTAAAGGCATTGATCTAATTCCAACAAATTTCGCATTTCTAAATTATAATCAATTACTTTGTCATAAGGATCAGATTAAGCACAGTAAACTACCAACGTGCCAAAGCTGTTGCCGTAACAACCAAACACTGAATGTTTCACATTGTTCGGACTGTGAAGCATACCTTTGCCAAAGTTGTCATGACAACCACATTCACATCGAATCTTTGAGCACACATGAAGTGAAAACCATTGAAGAATTGAAAGAATTATCAGAAGAATTACTTATCTCATTTTTTCATCGAAAACGATTTTGCTCAAAAGGAAGTCATAATGATCAGAGAATAACACTGTTTTGTGATCATCAGGATTGTCAGTCACCAATCTGTCTGAAGTGCGCTCTCTTAGAACATAATATAATAGATCACCAGCCAATCAACACAGAGAAAGCAACGTTGAAATACAAAGAAGTAATCAACAGCAAACTTGACAAAGCAATTGATAAAACTAAGGAGTTATCTTTCCAAATTAATCAAATTAATCAAGAATTATCCAACCTTAAAGATAACACTACAAAACAAATATACGAGGTTGAACATTTCTTCTCTGAATTAATCAAAAAAATCAACAGTAGAAAACAACAGTTGGTCTGCGAAATCGAGAAGCAACACGACGTACTGGAAACATCGCTCAATATTGAGAAAAAGAAGCTACAGACGAGGCAACATATTGTCGATACATCTGTGAAATTCACAGAATTCACACTAAAATATGACAGTGATGTAGAACTATTGACAACTAAATACGATGTATGCAGTCAACTGGACAAGGTATCATCACAGAAAATACCAGATCACAAATCAACGACAGAACAGTTCCCACGATTCTTTCATCCTGAGAGTGTAAATCTAAATATGGTAAATAATACAGTGTTTGCTGGGTATCATGTGAAGATCAGTTGTGACGTCATAAAAAGTGATGCAGTCGTTGGTAAAACCTGCAATTTCACTATAACCCCACGTGACATGAATGGTAAACAACTCGGTGTATCTGCAATTCCTGTAGAGGTCACACTAAATGACCCTGATAACCGAAATGTTGTCACCACTACAGATGACAATGGGGATGGGACTTACATGGTAAAGTACAGACCACAGAGAGAAGGAAAACACCACGTGGCTGTTACGTTATACAGTACGCCGATAGAGGGCAGTCCATACATCATCGATGTAAAACCGTCAAAAAAGATCAAATGTGACGTATATACGAATGAGAGAGAGGTGAATATGGATTGTACAACAACCATTCATTATCTCGCCGACATGGAAGCCTTACCTGCCATAGTCCGTGATCCTGACAGTCTACCTGTGGAAACTCGCATCACCACTAAACATGAGGTGATCTTTCAACCTACCAAGGTAGGACGTCATACAATAGTTTTGAATAAGTATGTTACACCAGCAGATTGTAACCCATATATCATTGATGTGATGGATACAAAGGGGCAGTGGGAAGTAGGGAGAAAAGGAGTGAACAATGCAGAATTCAATCAACCTGTAGGCGTTACTGTTGATAAGAAGGGCAATGTTCTGGTAGCAGACTTTGGTAACAAAAGGATACAGATACTTGACAGCAATGGGAAATACATTGATCAGATACTGCTTGATTCAGAGCGTCCCACTGGTGTTACCATGGCAACCAATGGCAATATTGTTGTGGTAGAATTTAACACCAAACATGTCCATATATACAGCGAAAATAGAGAAAAGATAAAACAGTTCACATATAAAGAATTTGTCAGACCTTATGGCGTAACTGTCAACAGTAAAGGACATATATTGGTAGCTGATCCTAAGGCATCTTACATCTTTGTGTTTACATCTGATGGAGATTTCATAATGAAGATTGGGAAGGAAGAAGGTGAAGGTAAACTGAATAACCCTCACTTCGTTGCTTCTGGTAGGCATGATGACGTCATTGTGTCTGACCTTCACAACGGACTGGCATTATTCACTGAGCGTGGACAGTTTATACGTAG